CACATAAAATAAAAATAATAAATCTTGGGCTGGAGATATGGCTCAGGGGTTAAGAGCACTGGCTGCTCTTCCAGAGGCCCTGAGTTCAATTCCCAGCACCCACATGGTGGCTCACAACCATCTATAATGAGATCTGGTGCCCTCTTCTGGAGTGCAGCCAGATATACAGGCAGAATGCTGTATACATAATAAATAAATAAATAAATAAATAAATAAATAAATAAATAAATCTTTTTTAAAAAAGGAAAAGAAATACATCTTTAAAAGCCTTAAAAAACAAATAATAGATCTTGAAAAGCAAACAAACAAGGGTGTGGGTTGTTGAGGCTCAGTGCTAGAGTCCTTGTGACGCACGCATGAAGCCCTGGGTTCCTATAAACTGAGTGATCCCAAAACTCAGAAGGCAGAGTCAGGAGAACCAAAAGTTCAAGGGCCATCCTTGGCTATACAGTGAGTTCTAGGCCAGCCTGTACTGCGTGAAACTCTGTCTAGGAGAGACAGCTGAGCGATTGTCCTCTACCCCGACTGAACGGGAGTGGGATGGGGACACGTATTGTCCCAGAAGCCTGTTCTGGGCCCAGATGAACAGGCAGCAAAGGAGCTAGCGCTGGGAAGGGGCCCTGGTGAGCAGTGCTCAGCCAGTCAGGTGTGGATCGAGAAGACCACTGGGTATTGACCAAAAAATAGCCCTGAGACTTTGACTGGACCCGAGCAAGGTTTGGGGGTGGGTGCTGGGCTCAGGAGAAGGCAGCTGGGAAGGCCAGCACCCCCACCCCACCAGGGGACACTTTGCACTTCACAAGCTGCCTTAATGCTGACTCACAGAAGAGTCAGCTGTACGGGAGAGGCTGTGCAGGGATGCCTACTTTTACCACATGAGGAAACTGAGGCTGGGGAGGGCAAAGGACCCTGTGCTGGGGCCTCACACGTGATGGGTCATGAGCGGACACGGGGTGCATGGAAGGTCAATGGGCTAGAGGAGAGCAAGGCAAGAGGAGTCTGGAGGTTCCCCCCCCCCCTTAGCAAAGGTCTCCTGAGATCCTTTTTGTCCCCTGTAGTTAGGTCTCCCCCCACCATGCACCCACACAGGAGACATGAAGTCTAGCCTGACATAGGCTTGGCAGGATCCCTGGTCCTGGCTCATCCTCCCAGGCACAGAAGAAACAACCTAACCGTAGGTTTGAGAATTCAGACAAGAAGGGACACTGTGACCCAGTTTGGGGGAGGTGGGACTTACACCTGGTCCTCCCCAGCCCTTGTCATGTTCCCAGGCCCAAGCACACCTGAGCCCACCCACTGGCAAAGGATTCCTGAGAGAAGGGTAGAGGTCTGTGTGCAGAGGGAGACAGACAGACAGACAAGAAAGATGTGGACACAGCATGGCTGCAGCTGCAAGTTCTCTCTCTCTCTCTCTCTCTCTCTCTCTCTCTCTCTGGTTCACATCACAGCTTTATTTTGTATCAAATGATCTTAGCCCTCTCTGCCCCAGTTTCCTCGTTTGAGAAAGGGGAACGGTGCTAACATTCACCCCTAAGACCATAGCAAGGACTGAATGGGAAGGGGCGTGAAACTGGCTAACACTGCGCTTGCAGTGAGTAACCACTCAGCTAAAGTAGCTGTTATAGCTGGGCAGTGGTGGCACCTTTAATCCCAGCACTTGGAGACAGAGACAGGTGGATCTCCAGCCTGGTCTACAAAGCAAGTTCCAGGACAACCAGGAAGTTACACAGAGAAACAATGTCTCCAAAAAACCAGAGAAAAAGGTAACTGCTACCAGTCAGAAGTCATTCTTCTTTAATTAAGAAACAGTCTCTCTATGTAGCGCTGGCTGGCCTGGAATTCGCTCTGTAGAACTCACAGAGATCCACCTGCCGCAGCCTCCAGAGTGAGATTAAAGGTGTGCCCCATGACACCTGCCCCCGTTTTTCTTATTACTCTTCTTGTTCAGTCCCAGGAGTTTTCCTTCCTTCCTTATGCTTATCCATAGCTTGGGGATTTGAGGGAGCCTGGGCTTCCTCTTACCTCCATGCCAAGCAAGAAGACAGCTGGTTGCCCCCTTCTCACAGCCCATGCCCTGGGCCTCCCACCCCTCAGTAGGAGTCCTGAGGGCAGAGGTTGACATGCTGGTAATAATGGGGCCCTTTACTATGTGCCAAGGCTCTGCCGGGAGGGGCAGCTAGTGACTGACAGGAGGATGTGGGCACCACCGCCCTCTGCTGTCCAGTTCCTCCTAGGTGGATGGATACCCCTGGCGGGCGGCTACCCACCAACCAGAAGGTGCTGGGAAGACAAAGCTCATAATGGCTCTGCCTTTCTTTGTTGTGTGAACTGCCTTGAAAACTCACAGGCCCTGGGGGTCACCCCCTCTGGCTTCCGATCCCCGGGACCCCAGCACTCACTGTGCCTTGGTGACTGGGTGAATAATTCAAGCGGCTGAGTGTCAGGCATGAAATATTTAGCAGGCTGTTCCTGACACACCAGAGTGTGGGGGCGACGCTGGCACTGGGATTGCAGGCTGGGGCTGTGGGCCAGCAGGGATATAAGGAGAGGTGTGTGGCCGACCACTGGGTCTTTTGCCGGCCCTGGACTGTGTAGGCAGGACCTACTTTTTAATTTTTTCTCTGTTTCATTTTATTTTAAGTTTTTAGATACAGAGTTTTACTATGTAGTCCAGATTCTCAGTGATTCTCCTGTCTCAGCCTTCCAAATGTTAGGATGATGGGCGTGTGCCAGGATACGCAGTGCATGCATGCATGTGTATGTACATGTGTGTGCATGCATATGTGTATGTGCATGTGTGTTTACGTGCATACGTGCACACATGTATATCCATGGGTGTGTTACTTGTGTGTGTATGCATGTGTATATGCATGTGTGTCTACATGCGTGCATGCATATCCGTGTGTGTGTGTGCGTGTGTACATGCATGGGTGTATGCATGTGTGCATGGGTGTCTACATGCATGCGAGTATATCTGTGTGTGCGCACGTGTGTATGCGCATGTGTGTACATGCGTACGTGCGTGTGTCTGAGTGTCTGTGTGTTGCTGAGGCTGTAACCCAGAGCATTCCACATGCTACCCAGGCATTGTAATACTGAGCTACATCCGCAGCCCTCACTGGAGCGGCATGCTGTAGGACGACAAGGAGTGGCACTCATTTTCCCCCAGACGTCTAAAGGGCCAGATTCAACATGAGAGCAGCACGCGGCAGCTTTGTGTTGGGGTGTGGGAGGGGTGCCCACACAAGCAGTCAGGAGAGACAGGGAGACAGGGAATGAGAACTAAGTTGGGGATGCATACAACTTGAGCCAAGAGGCTCCAGGCTCGGAGCTGCTGGGATGGCTGTGGTTAAGGAGGGGAAGACACGCTCGTCTGGGTAAAGGTAGGGACGTAAATTATGTTGTGGGGTTGGTGCATGGGCAGATCTATCTAGAGGAGGAGGGACATGCAGACTATCGGGCCGGTGAGGGAGGGGCTTAATGGGTCTGGTTGCTATGTGGATGCTTAGCTAGGAAGAATAATTTGGGTGGAAATATGAAAGACTGGAGAGTAACAGGATGGATCCCCACTCCCAGCTTGATGAGTTTGTAGACTTGAATGGGGAGGTGATGGGTCTGGAGTAGCTTGTGGCTCCGCCCAGTGTCCATTCCTGGTAACTGCATCCCGCGCAACCCAAACCCGTTACCCACCTAGTGGCCAGGCCAGCTTCAATGCTCTTCTATTGCATCCCTCCCACCTGCGGGGATCCAGCTCTGTTACCCAGTAAGGAAGCAAGGATAAGGGGTGCTAACAGTCCAAAGTTAGACCATAAGGGAAGCCATCAGGACACGGGTCCTGCCCGTTTTTCCCCACTCTGGACCACTATCCGCCTGTCCACTGTGGGTCACACCCATCAGGCACTGAATCCCACAGATATGTAATCCTATCACATTTGCCAGTTGTGTGGCATAAGTTAAGAATGCCCTAGCCTAGGAATAACAACAGAACTTAAGAAATACTTGTCTGGGCTGGAGAGGCGGCTCAGCGGTTAAGAGCACTGGCTGCCCTTGCAGAGGACCCAAATTCTATTTCACCCACATGGAGGCTCACAACCATCTGGAACTCCAGTTTCAGAGGATCTGATGCCCTCCTTTGACATCTTGGTGTACACACATAAATGTAGGCAAAACATCCATACACATAAAATAAATATTTAAAATATAAAGATCCAGGCTGCTGGGGGGGGTGGCCTTTAATCCCAGCCCTTGGGAGGCAGAACCAGGTGGCTCTCTGTGAGTTTGAGGCCAGTCTGGTCTACAGAATAAGTTCTAGGACAGACACCAAAGCTACACAGAGAAACCCTGTCTCAAAAAACAAAAACAAACAACAACGAAGAAGGAGAAGGAGGAAGAGGAGGAGGAGGAGAGGAAGAGGAGGAGGAGAGGAGGAGAAAGAAAGAGGAGGAGGAGAAAAATATCTAGGCATGCCAGTGCACCCCTTTAATCCCAGCACTCAGGAGGCAGAGGCAGGAGGATCTCTGTGAGTGACAAGCCAGCCTGGTCTACAGAGTGAGTTCCGGGGCAGTCAGAGCTATACAGAGAAACCCTGCTTCAAAAAATACAAAGTCTTAAAATTAGTTAGTTAATTAATTAACTAATTAATTAAATAAAAAGAAATACAAGGCTGGAGAGATGGCTCAGCTGTTAAGAGCACTGGCTGCTCTTCCAGAGGTCCTGAGTTCAATTCCCAGCACCCACATGGTGGCTCATAGACATCTATAACGGGATCTGGTGCCCTCTTCTGGCCTGGTTAAATTTTTTAAAAAAGCGGTAGGTTTAGGCACTATATAGAAAAGTTGTGTAGGCGGAAGGAGGTGGAAAGTGGAGAGGGACTCCGCTGAGCCAGAGAACTCAGGAACACACAGCCTCTCCAGGCCGCTCTTGAGAGCCAGGCTAGAGGAGGCTTTGAGGAGAGCGCAGTGGGCATCCAGAACCCATAGCGGCGTGTTGTCTATTCGCAGGGGAGTGAATGCCCAAACCAGCAACGGTGCCACGCCCCTGTACCTGGCGTGCCAGGAGGGCCACCTGGAGGTGACGAAGTACCTGGTACAGGAGTGCAGCGCAGACCCGCACGTGAGCGCCCAAGACGGCATGACGCCTCTGCACGCCGCGGCGCAGATGGGCCACAACCCCGTCCTGGTGTGGCTGGTGAGCTGGGACCAGAGCAGGAGCGCTGGGGGTGAGCGCGGCGTCTCAAGGGGCTTAGTTCAAGCCCCGCCCTCTGCCCCGCCCACTCCCTCCCTACCAGGTGAGCTTCGCAGACGTGAGCTTGTCCGAGCAGGACCACGACGGCGCCACGGCCATGCACTTTGCCGCCAGTCGCGGCCACACCAAAGTGCTTAGCTGGCTCCTGCTGCACGGGGCAGAGATCTCGCAGGACCTGTGGGGCGGGACCCCGCTGCACGACGCTGCTGAGAACGGGGAACTCGAGGTCCGGGCGGCCCGAGAGGGGCGGGGCGGGGCCGGGCGCTGGGGCGCGCGCCCTCTGGCGGCCACAGGCTCTCCGCAGCCTCTCTGGCGTGCAGGGCGTGGAGGGACCCAGCCGTCTCCTCCTCGCCCCCTGCAGTGCTGCCAGATCCTCGTGGTGAACGGCGCGGGGCTGGAAGTCCGGGACCATGATGGGTACACAGCTGCCGACCTGTCTGATTTCAATGGCCACACCCACTGCTCCCGCTACCTACGTACCGTGCAAACCCTGGTATGACTTTACCCCTTTTACAGAGAAGGAAGCTGAGGGTCAGGGGTATGAAGCTTCTTGCCTGGGGTGGTACAAGGGGAAAGTGTCCTCGCGCACTGCTTGGCACCAGCTGAAATTCAAAACCATTGTCATCGGTCATGAGGATAGGCAGAGGCCAGGAGACACTGACCACTGGGCCCAGCCAACTTCATTTTTCACCCACCCACATGTATTAGCGGACATAACTCTTACAGACCCTCTCTTGTAGGCTGTGGTAAGTGGTCCCATTTCACAGATGGGTAAACTGAGTCTCCGGAAGGCCAAAGGTCACACACCCATGATGGCGCCCAATGGCCTGGCGATGGCTATGAGCTATCTCTTCTCTCCTTCGGCGCTGAGGGTTTGGAATGCTAGGCAAATGGCGTAGCGTACCATTAAGCCACACCTCAGGTCTCTTTTCACCTGTCTTTTTTGTGACCCTTCCGCTGTGGCCTCCTCAGTAGCTGGGATTACAACCATGCAGGATTACAGCTGGCAGGAACCGCCCCTCTTGACTAGTACACAATTGCTCACCTTGTAGTTAATTCATAACCGAAAAACGATGTGACTCTTGTAAATTGTTTTATTGTATGCTTACAAAGCCATGAGATGACCCAGTGGGAATCTAGGCTCAGATGTGGGCGTCTCTAAGTCCAGGGCGCTGCCCCTGCTGGTACAATGCCTACTTTGGGGCAGTAGAGGAGGAAGAAGGTAGGTCTCACAGCCCCCACCCCCGCAGAGGGATGCTATCTCCACAACCTAGCCCAGACATGAGGAAGGCTTCCAGATGAAGCCCGGAAGAAAGAAGGCAGATGGCCCTGCTCTATCTGCTAGCATGTGGGGTAACCCTGGTTGGGATCTGGACAGATCAGCATGGCCTAGGTGTCAATCATGGCTGAAGGTTGGGGGGATGAACCCCCAGAAAGTCCTCCCATCACTGGGGCACACAAGCAGGGGTGGGCACTGTGAGTCTCTGTCTGGACCAGGAGTGAGGTCCATCAGGCAGAGTGTCTGCTATGGGGCTGAGAGTGTGCAGCACCCGGGATCACCTGAGAGCCTGCCAGGCTGCGGCTGCCACTGCCCATAAACACCAGCGTTGACGTCGGACTCTGGCAGGCTCTCTGTCCCTACGCTGTACAGGTGTGACCCCAGCTCATCTCTGTCGTGTTCGTTGGTAATTTACACTTAAGGCATGTACTGGGCACCATGCCTGTCACCGACTTCCAACACCTTTGCCCCCTGTGGAGCAAATACCATTATCCCCACTTTACAGATGAAGAAACTCGGGTGCAGAAAGTATTGGCATATGCTATGCTCATCCCCCATAGCTAGGGAGTGGGGGCAGGGAGTAAAGGCTCTGCTTCTAGGCTGCCAAGCCTGCGTGCCTGGGTCCTAGCTCTTGTCTTCTGTGGTCTGCAGAGCTCAGGGCAGGGTCCCCATGCTGCCCACTCGTGTTAGTTAAGAGAAGAGTACCTTTAGGTTGTCTCCCCCCAAGTCGTCTTCTGGGTCTCTCCTTTCCCTCGTAGGGTAAGAACAGGGCTGGACCCCTTGAAGGGAATGAGGTAGGCAGTAGGATCTGGTCCCCTCACCCAGGCAGGCCAGGCAGCAGCCATGACAGATCCAAGCCACCGAGGTAGCTGGCCCAGAAAAGGCAAACACTAATTACAGGGCCAATGAGGGTGGCCGCTGAGCCGTTACCTGGTGCCAGCCTGCTTCCCTGTCCCAGGGGGCCTGTGACACTTCTCAGGCAGGGAGGGGCCAGGAGGGCAGGAGGCAACAGAGGAGCAGGCTTGCCGGTAGCAGGGACAGCATGGGCAACGTAAGTTAGCCCCTCACCCTAACTGCTCCCAGCAAAGACGAACGGACCTGCACTCAGAAGCCCAGCCTGTGGGAGGGAGAATGGGAGAGTTGGCAGCCCCAGCTGGGGCATGCCATCTAGGGCGCAACCTCCCCACCCCCATCAGAAGGGAGTTGGCATGCCAAGCAAATAAAGATGGGGTTGCAGGCAGGAAGTGGAGGTTGTCCCCCTATATGCTTCTTTCCTGCAGGAGCAGCCCTTGGGGCCCTCTGCCAACAGATGCATAAAAGCCCGGGCCTTCTGCCCACTGGTGAGAGCGGGAAGTCTGGTGTGGGGCTGCACTGTGCCTCCAGGGCCTTCTTTCCAGGTCTCCGCCTACCTGAGCCGGAAATGCTGCTGGGAGGGTCTGCACGCGTATTCGAATAAGCTGCGGACCCTCTCATGGTAGAAAAAGAAGGAAGTGGCGTGGCAGGTCATTCACTGGGGACTTGTGGTAGGACCCCTGTTGCAGAGAGTGTGGAGTTTATCCCCACAACTGCCCTCCTTTCTTCTCAGAGCGTGGAACACCGAGTCCTGTCCCGGGATCCGTCCACTGACCTGGAGGCAAAGCAGCCTGACTCGGGCATGTCCTCGCCCAACACCACCATGTCGGTGCAGCCACTGAACCTGGACCTCGGCTCGCCCACCAGCACCCTCTCCAACTATGACTCCTGCTCGTCCAGCCACTCCAGCCTCAAGGGTCAGCGCTCTACCCAAGGTGAGCGGGCCGGGAGGAAGAGGAACCGGAGGAGCCGAGACAAAGCGCATGGCTCTTCTCTCCACGCCACTCACTGTCTTGACGTGTCCATTAGGATATACACTCCCTGCCACAAAGCCTGCATGTCCCCCACACAGGGTTTGCTGCTCTCTGGTCTAGGTTACAAACTCAGAGCTGCACATATGGACAGGTGTGCCTAGGAAACAAATAAGCACGCACAAACGCATACAAACAGATGAGCACATACAAATTTACGCCGATACTATACATACAAACACACACCTATATTACACAAACGAGATACAGATATGGACTGCTACAGATATGGACACCCGCACAAAGGTCCCCCAGACCAATACAGAAACACAAATATACAAAGGGACCAGGTTAAATACACACATAACAAAAGGCCTCACAGACAGGCATCTGTGTACACACTGACCACACCCTGAGCAGTCCAACTACATGCAGTGTCTGCTTCCCACCAGTAGGTGGCGATCTGCAGAGCTGGCTTGAGTGTAGCCATCCAGACTCCTGCCTTGCCTGGCCCCTGCCAGGTGGTCCCACTCCACAGGACCCTGGAACTCAAAACTCCCTAAAGTGACCCCTAAAAACCCGAGAGCATCACCTTCCTGCCTACTGAGGAGGCCGCAGCAAGTGACCCCCATTAGCCTTGCCACTGGTTAAGCCATTTGCAGTGTTGGGATACCTTGGATCTGGGATACATTTTGCAAACTCATACACCCTGCTTGCCCTTCTGCCCCCCCCCCCCCGCCCAGGGCTTCCCAGTGCAAGAGCTGCAGATTTACAGAGCTACATGGATATGCTGAACCCAGAGCTGAGCGTGCCTCAGGGCAAAATAGGGAAGCCTACTTCACCACCACCACCACCAAGCTTCCCTCCACCGCCACCACCCCCAGGCACCCAGCTGCCCCCACCTCCACCAAGTTATCCAGCTCCCAATCCCCCTGTGGGGCGACCTGCGGATAATATCTACATGCAGACCAAGAACAAGCTTCGCCATGTGGAAGTGGAATCACGGAAGAAGGAGGTAGGTAGAGAGCTGGCCCTGTTGGCAAGCAGTAGGACTAGGCTGGGCCAATAGGGAACTGGCCCAGTTGGTTTGTGCTCACTAATGAGAATTTCTGGGCTCAGGGCAAGTTCAAGTATTGAAAATCTTAGCCGGGCGGTGGTGGCGCATGCTTTTAATCCCAGCACTCGGGAGGCAGAGGCAGGCGGATTTCTGTAAGGTTGAGGCCAGCCTGGTCTACAAGAGCTACTTCCAGGATAGACTCCAAAGCTACCTAGAGAAACCCTGTCTCGAAAAACCAAAAAAAATAAAAAATAAAAATAAATTAGCGAGCGCAGAACTGAACATGGTGGACAGGTGGGGGCCACAAAGCAAAGTCGCCATATTCCTTTCGAGGGGTCAAGGCTGAGGGAGCGTAGGCCTAGTCGGGGTAGTGAGGAGCTATGCCACATCTTGCACAGAGCGGCAGGGCTGTCGCGGAGTTAGCAGAGAAAGCATGTAGATGACATGGATACCCGTAGCGTGGAGCTCACAGAGAGAATGACACTCAAGCCAGGTGGTGGTGGCCTTCGTCTTTAATTCCAGCATTGGAGAGATAGAGGCAGGCAGGTCTCTGAATTTTAGGAGAGCCAGAACAGGGCTACAAGAGAACTTGTGTCTCAGAAAACAAAAATTAAAAAAAAATGAAAAATTAAAATAGAACACTTGAGGTGTCTTCCAGGTGGGTTAGTCTGGGAGTTTAACTTGAAGGTAAGGGCCAGAAGGTGGGTGGGGAAGTTGAGCAAACACTAGAAAGTTCTGCTACCTACTACTGGCTGAAGCTGGCTCCTCTTCCATCAGGGTTAAAAAAGGCTCCCTTCGATGCTAACTCCCCTCCCACTCTGCAACCTCTGCGAGGGTGGAGGATGAGCAGGTGTGTGAGAAGGGGAGAGAACCCTTCAGAAGGGGCGCTACCGTGAGGAGCTAGAGCATCCAAGGCATTTGGACTTCCGGCTAAAGCTGGGGAGCAGAGAAGGGGCAGATGAATGTCAGGGAGGCCCGAAGCCAGGCCAGGGGGAGAGGTGAGGGGACAATCTAAGACCACAGGTGGCCAGGTGTAGGGTGGCAAACCCACAAAGCCTTGCCAGAGCCCAGACCTTGCAATTCTCTCCCCAGCCCAAGGCATGCCACCCCAGGGTGGAGCTGAGTGATCAGTTTGCACAGGTGAGCCAGGTCACAAGGCCATGGGGGCGGAGGTGGCTGTGGGAAGGACACAACCTTTACAGGGACTGCACCGCGGTCTTTACCTGCCTTCCTGTGCACCAAGCTCTTCCCAGAAGGTTCTTTGATCATCTGGAGATGAAAGAAGGCTGGACAGAGGTTGGAGAGAGTTGAGGCCAGCCCAGTTTCGCAGCCTGGCGCAACAAACGAACCTTGCCCCAAACCATGTCCCCTCCCCAGCCCTGGGCCTGAGTGCCAGCATTATGCCATGCCCGAGCCCCTCTGCGGTGTGTTCGTGCTGAACTGAAGGCGCTAATAGGCTCCACAAAGGGCCCTTTGTGTGCCGGTTGCGTCCCTTGTCCCCTCAGGCGCGGGTGCCTAAACTGAGTTAAGGGGTGTGCGCCTCGGCGGCTGTAGTGGGTGCCTACCGAAGGGGCTGGCTGACCCAGAAAGCAAATCTGGCGTGTTGTCTTTCCTGTCACGTGCACCTTGTCCAGTGGGGTGCGGAGGGTCTGAGGCCACTGCAGAGACATACAAACTGGGGACTGGGTCAGGGGACAGGCCCCACCTGGTCATTAGGTCTTTGGCCACGCCACCTTTCTCTCTCGCCCAGTGCAGGCCTTAGTGGGGAGCAACCGAGTGAGAAGTGGCTTTGTCACCCGAGCCCACCTGGCCACCCTTGAAACTTGAGGCCTGGGCGCGGGTGTGGTGTCGTTTACATGGATAGCGATGGGTTCCAGATGCGGGAGGGGAAGGTCCAGGGCGCGACCTGGGTTGGGGTGTGGGTTGGGGGCAAAAAAAAAAAAAAAAAAGCGGTTTCGCTGCCCGAGGTCAGCCCGTCTTACGGTCCTGGCAAATGACTGAGGGCGGCGAGGATGAAGGTAGGGTACTCAGAATCTCTAGTCGAGGGAGAGGTGCAGAGGACGGAGCCGCCCCTGGCCCGTTGTGGAGCAGCGGGGCTCCGTGACATCCCCGCCTGCCTGGGGGGTTGAGCTTGGGATTGGCGGACCCTGGGTGATGTCAGGCCGACTGAGCTCATAGGCGGGCCGCGTGCGGCCGGGCTGTAACCTGAGAGGAAGGATCAGGTAACGCAGGTGTCGGGTCCGTGCCGCCCCCGCCGCCAGGTGCACAGCGGGGGCCACCGGAACAGTCGCAGGTAGGAGCAGCCCTAGGCTCTGGGCCCCCTGAGTAAGGAGAAGCGTTCCAGGGCACCAGCTCTAGACAGGGCCCCCTCCAGGCCGAGACCCCCGCCGGAGAGCGTTCGAGGAGCCTTGAGCTCTCACGTGCAGTTTGTGGAGTAGCTAGTAGGGTGCAGCCGAGCCCTCGGGGCGGGCTAAGTGGGAGCTGTCCTAGCTCAGGCTCCCCCTGGCGTCCAGGCTGGGCCTCCCCGCCCTTGGGTCCGCCCCTTCTGGCCTTAGTGGGGGCCCCTGTGCCCTTGGCCCTAACCCAGACCCCTCCCTGTGAGCCGGCCGAGCCTTCGCCCTTTTACCAAGGTCCCCACGCCCCTTGCCCCATCCTGGTCGGAGAACTGGGGGTGGGGGAAGGGGCAGGGACGCGGCCAGCTGCGCCACTCGACGGCCGCTGGCCGCGAGCCCCCTAGGCAGAGGGTGGGAAGGGAGGTGCGAGGGGCATCCGGGCTAAGTGCATCCTCCTCCACTGTCTTCCCGCAGCGGAGCTCGGGCGACGGCCACTCAGGATTGCGAAGGCAGGACTCGGGGCTGCCCTGGCACAACATCGGACTGCGCAGGCAGGACTCCGCCCGCAAGCAGCGCTCGTTCAGCAAACAGCCCAGCACGGGGGACTACTACCGCCAGCTGGGCCGCTACCCGGGGGAGCCGCTGGCCTCACGCCCGGGCATGGCCCACAGTGAGGAGGTGCGTGCTCTCCATCCCGCACCCATGGGCCGTCCGGGCCCGGACCCTGTTGCACTCTCCTCACTCTCTGGCCCCTCTGCACCCCCGCAGGCAGTGCTGCTCCCTGGGAACCACGTGCACAACGGCTGCTCAGCGGACCCCAAGACGTCTAAGGAGCTGCCACCACCACCGCCACCACCGCCGCCGCCACTGCCCGAGGCCCTGAGTTCGCCGCCACCTGCCCCACCTCTGCCCATCGAGGGCGCGGTCGCAGGCTGCGGGCAGCGTCGTTCCTCGTCGTCTACTGGCAGTGAGTAGGGGCGGGATGAGGGGTGGGGGCGGCGCCAGCTGTAAAAGGGAGGGAAACCTAGAGACCGCCCCCTCCCCAGCTGCGACTTGCCTGGTCCTTCTTCCTCCTTCCCGGTTCTTCTTTCCAGACCCTACCCTTTGAGGACAAAGGAAAAAAACTTTTGAGTTGCTTCGGTCCCACGGCAGGACTGGGCTGAGTGTGGCTTTTGGCAAGGCCCCTGCCTTCCCTGGGCCTTCTCCTTTTTGGCTAGGGAGAGCCTCCGGGCTCTGGTGGCTGGTGTTTCTTGAGCTCTTTTCTTCCTGTACCTACATCTTCAGTCCCCGCACTCGAACCTTTGACTCCGGTTCCCTCAAGCTAAGCACAGCCTTGAGCTTTTCTCAGCTACGACAGAACTCACTGATCAGCTGTGTCTGGCGAGGGGAACAAAAACAATGACCCAGCAATCCATCACAACCCTGTCCTTGGGGTTTGTATGTGCGTGGTGATGGTCTTCATGCAGGACACCCCAGGCCCCCTCAAGCGTGCTAGGCTTACTCTCGACCACTGGCTGGACGCTGTTGTTTAGAAGTTCAGCTAGGGACCAGGACTGCGGGACCATTCCTTCTGCCAGGGATCCTGGAAGGCTCTGGTTCTCTCATCCTAGTGAGGCAGGGCTGGGCGCAGAAACCGTACTCGGTGGTTCCAGCCCAAGCTTCCTTTCTCTGACTGGACTAGGAGAGCAGCTCCTCTGGAGCCCGTCAGAGTGTGTGCACACCTGGGCCTCTCAGTCCATCCCCCAGCTCTCCAACCTACTCTCTTTCCTCTGCAGTCTGTACTTGGGACAAAAGGGAAATGCTAGCCTCTGGCTGTCCCAACCAGCCCCAATGCCAAGATGGTCTCCCTTAGAGGACTGAATGGACCACCCTTGTGGGGCCCCCAAGTGGCCTGAGCCAGGGTCACAAGGGCAGGAGAGCTCCTCCCCTCTTCTCCCCCTCCTGCCCTCCCTGGCCTTCTTGCTGTCCCGGTTTCACCCCAGCCCCCCTTCCTCTAACTTCGCTGTCAATTCTCTCCCCTCGGTTCCTAGAAGTGAGAGTCCTGAGACACAGGAAGAGTGAGTAGCTGCGCGGGCTCACGGCTTAGGCTAAGGCGTGGGGTGGGGGAGGTGGCTTGCCCAGAAATAAGGCAGAAAGGGCCCGGGACTGAAGAAAGGGCTTGCTAGGGGCCAGTAGGTGAGAGGACCTGTTACCCTGAACACCTACGGCATCCCGGCATCCGGTGCCTGGCTTGCAGTTTTGCTTAAGTAAATGAGCCGGCAGCGGCATGCCTTCCTTCTCCTTGGGATGTGCTCCGGATTATCAGCCCCAGCATCCAAGGGCCTTTAGTATCACTTTGTTCTGCCCCATCCGGGGCACCAAAGACCGATCTCCCCAAGTCCTCATTCACCTCCGCCAGCCCTGCTGGAAATGCAAACTCAGTCCAGGTATTTGCATGCCTTTGGCCTGGCCCTTCTTCCTGCATGCCCTCTCCCGTGTCCTCAGCAAGCTCCTCCTTCCACGGTCCCCCAGGGTCATGCAGTGCTTTGCCATAAATGTACGCTCCGCTTGCCGTCATTGTGTCTGCTGTCTGTCTGTGGGTGTGGGGCCAGGGAAGGTCCAGCTGGGTGGCACTCCAGGGTCCTGAGTCTTATAGCCACGGAGGCTCCAGTCTGCTCAGTCCAAGGGTCACTGGGCTTTGCTGAGGAAGGGAGAGGGCCATAGGGAAACTCCGCCCTAGTGGGGGCTGAGCCAGGAAACCTGGGACAAAGGTTGGGTGGCTAGCAGGGTAGTGCACTGGAGCTGGGCAGTCGATGGTGGGCAGAGATCCGCTCGAGTCCCCAGGGCTGGCCCAGGAGCCACCATGAATTCCCAGGGGCCTCCAGGTGGGGGCCGTGTGCCCAGTGAGTAAGACTTGGTGGGGTCACCGTGGACTGGGAGCTGATGGCCCACCTTTGGGTGTCCTGATAGCTATCCGAGGTATCCCAGGAGCTGGAGAGCTGCCTCTGGGCCCAAAGGTGGGCCCTACCCATCTGGCTTGGAAAGGGGGTCTGGGGTGAGGTGGGGGCAGGATGGAAATGGGAATGCTACCTACCCCCAACCAATCACCTCTTCTCTTTGGGCAGGTACCAAATCTTTCAACATGATGTCTCCAACGGGTGATAACTCAGAGCTGCTGGCTGAGATAAAAGCAGGCAAGAGCCTGAAGCCAACACCACAGAGCAAGGGGCTGACCACTGTGTTCTCAGGCAGTGGGCAACCAGCCTCCCAGGTAGGCACTAGACGGGTGCCCCGCCCGGGCTCCCAGTGCCTGCTGGGTGCTCAGCCCTACTGCTTCTCCCGGCAGCCTGAGTCACCGTCACCTCAGCCATCGCCACAGCCCTTGGTGTCACCTGCGCCATCTCGAGCCCGGAGCCCCACCCCACCGGCCTCTGGGCCTCAGCCGTTGCTCAATGGCAGCCTAGTGCCGGCACCACCTGCCACGCCAGCACCTGGAGTACAGCTGGATGTGGAGGCCCTCATCCCCACACTGGATGAGCAGGGCCGGCCCATCCCGGAGTGGAAGCGCCAGGTGATGGTCCGGAAGCTGCAGCAGAAGATGCAGGAGGAGGAGGAGCAGAGGAGGAAGGTGGGTGGGGTATGGCTTCCTAGAAAGCCCTGGGGTCCGCACTAAGCCTACAGCCTGTTCTGACCCTTCAGCCTCCATCAAAGCCCTTGGAAAGAAGCAGGAATATAGGATATCCTATACATAGTGGGTCTCTGCCTCCCCACGGTTAGCTGTCCCTTGAAGGGAGCCGTCAATGTTTACCAAACTCTAGTGTGCCTTCAAGTCACTTGGGACCTTATTAAAGAGCTTATTCTGCTTTGGGGACAAGGGTTGAGATTCTGCATTTCTAACAAGCTCCTGGGTGGACCACACTGAGTGTGACCTGAACTCTGTCCTGGCACTGCCACCCTCCAGCCGCTGCTGCTGAGTCTTGCTCAGCGTCAATCCCTTATCTGTAAGATGGTTTGGTCATCACTAGCTGCCGGACGGTCACCATTAACTCAGCCAACCTGTGTTCCCTGAGTGCCACCTATGTACTGCACGCACGATTGTATCTTCTGAGGCTCACAGTGAAGATACCAAAGCCTGCGATCAAGGTGGCTGTGGAAGTTATGTGTGTGTGTGTGTGTGTGTCAACAAGCAGATAATGTCCCTAAGAGATGATGATATGAGAACGACAGTTTGGAGTAACGAACAACTAAGCTTTATAATACACTGAGTGATCAGGGGCACAGGAGGCTGAGGTGTCACCCGGCTGGTGGCCAGCTGTGGATTGAGTGGTGATGTATTAGCCCAATGTGAGATGGGAGCCGGAGGCACACAGGAGTTGATTAGGAAGAGTCGCATGCGGAGGAAGGCAAGCAGAGTAGGCAGGTCTGGAAGAGGATGTGTCTTGTACGTTTGCGTTTGGTTTGAGTGGTGGGAGTCAGGATACAAAGTTTCAGCCTGGAAAAGACTAGCCCCACCCCCTCTTCCTAGGAAGCCTGGCAGGCGGCTCAGCATACTTGTGTGGGAGGTGGGCAGTACTAGATCTAGATGGATCTGGCCCTAGAAGTGGAGCTGGGTCCCACACATTTTATGGGGTAGGCGATTGTAATTTAAGAATGGAATACGGAGCCGGGCGGTGGTGGCGCACGCCTTTAATCCCAGCACTCGGGAGGCAGAGGCAGGCGGATCTCTGCGAGTTCGAGGCCAGCCTGGTCTACAAGAGCTAGTTCCAGGACAGGCTCCAAAGCTACAGAGAAACCCTGTCTCGAAAAGTGGAGTATGGAGAAAAAAAAAAGAATGGAGTGGAGTAGGAGGGGCATATGAAACATTGCCTTGACCGCTGGGACAAGGATGGACTTGGACCACAGGAAGCCTGAAGAAGGGTCTGTGATCTGGTGACAAGAGAGGAACGTTGGGATCTGGCTTGGAAAGAGCTGTGGAACGGGCAGGGGAGGGCCGCTGTGCTTCACGGCTTCAGTGCCTTTCGCATGTTCTTCGGGTGGTGTAATGAGCGACCAAGCCAGGCATGGAGACCCAGTTTGCCAGTCCGTCTTTCCTGCCTCAGGCAGCACCGCAGCCCCAGCCAATGCCTTCTACCAGCAACCAAAGCGAACAGTGCTCTGAGCTGGGAGCCGAAGCCTTACTGCAATGCAATCTCCCCGCCAGCCAGGCAGCCGGTCCCTGCAAACGCAGCCCAGCGGAGCCATTACACCACCCAGGACTTGCAAAAGGTCGCCTGCTCTGCTGCGGGAGCTGGGCCAGAGGGAGACGCGCCCCCTCCCCTCTCTTGTCTTCCCCGCCTTAGTTGACCGCTGCTAGCTCCTGCTGCTATCCCCCGGAAGGCTGGAGGTACTCCCGCGAGCACAACGCCATCCTAGGGCCCTTTGGCGAACTCATGACCGAGGCTGACATCCTCCGCATCGAACAGCAAATTGAGAATCTGCAGGTGCTTCACAAGGCAAACAAGCTCGAGGCGCGTCTAGAGCAGCTAGAGCTGGAGTTGGAGCAGCTGCTACCGATCACTGCTGCTCTGTCGGCGCCGCGCTTCACCGTAGACCCACGCCGCATGCATGGCCACGCACCCAACCTGCCTGCCTGGTGCAGCAAGATCTCCACGCTGCTCAGGAGTATGGCCACGCTGCTGGCCGCGCTGGGCGGCCGGCCCGCACACCTGGCAGAACTGCTGACTGCAGACACTGGCCAACCGCTGGCGCCGCTGCCAGACGCACCCTCGAGGCCTGGACCTCTCTGTTTGGGCCGCTCTCATTCACTCAGCTGGTGCCGGGAGGCCGTGGCACGGGAGATCCTCGAATGTGGCGTCTCGGTACAGCACCTCCGCGCCGCGTATGAACTGCGCACTCAGGGCGCGGCACACACCCCGAGCCTGCGCCGCAAGCTCCCTCAGCCCGCCAGCACCCCAGACCGGGAACCGATCCTCGAGGAGGACTACGTGGCGATCGGTTCCAGTGAGCCGGGAGACGCCGTCGCCAATGGCCTGTGGGCTGCAGAGGAGACCCTGGACACCCTGGACCCACCCGAGCCGTGGCACCGGGAGGAAGCTTTTCCGGAGCCCGAGCAGCTGGCTAGCAGGCCCCCACTCTCCACCGAGCTGCCTGGCGTCCAGGAATACATCGACATGCGTAAAGAGCGCATCGTCTACCTCTTCCTGGAGCACTGGCGCAAGTGGACCTTCCAAGGACCTGGGCGTCATGCTCAGGCGCGCCTGCGCAGACTGCTGCCCCGGGTGGTGGCCTCTGGCGCCGATCCCCTCCCAGAGGCAGACGACACTGCCCAGCAGCAACCAGCTGGTGACGACTTGGACCGTGACCCTGAAGAGCGTCTGCTGCGGCTGCTCAGGCAGCGACAGGTGGTGGGCAAACTGCTGGGCCACTGGAGAAGCCTGCTAAGGCAGGTACCAGCGCGCCACGTACCCGGCTCGAAGCTGACACATGGTGTGTACTGGCCCGAGCACTTCCTGCCACCACTCGACGGCGGCGCTATGCGGAGCTACGACACTCTCACCCTAGATCTCTTCATGTTAGGCTACTTTCAGCTGCTGGAGATGGGCCTGAGCCGCGAGGAACGGAAATTCCGCCATCTATTGTGCTATGAGATGTTCGACCGTCTGGGCAGCCACCCGTGGGAGCTTATCCGCCAGTTCCACCGAGCAGTGTTGGAGGAGGTGGAGGCTGGAAAGCGTGGCTGGGGCGATGGCTTTGAGGATCTCAAGCGCCAGTTCTTCGGAGACAGCCCCGAGTCTGAGCCGGCTCCAGAAGAGACCCAAGAGGAGAAGGGGGAAGGGGGAGAGAAGGAACAAGACCAAGTGGAAGAGGAGGAGGAAAAAGAGGAGGGGGGAGAGGAGGAAACAGAGGAGGGGGGAGAGGAGGAAAAAGAAGAGGAGGGAGAGGAGAAAAACGAGGAGCGGGGAGAGGAGAAAAAACTGGAGGAAGAGAAAAGAAAGCAGGAAGACAAGGAGAAGAGAGAGGAGGAGCCCTCTGAAGAATCCACTCCGGCTCAAACACAGGACCTGCCACAGGGGCAGCCAGAGGCCCCAGCCCCAGCACCGCAGCCTCCTCCCGCTGCACCTCCCCCAACCTCAGACCGGCCTAGTTCGGAACCCCCAACTGAAGAACCCCTGGAGCTGGTGTCTGAGATGGGTGAATTCAGCAACGAGGACATCTGCCGCTATATTGACCGGAGCTTCTCCTTTTGGAAGGAGAAGGAGGCAGAACTCTTTGACATCTGAGAGCAAACACATGGCTTAGTTTTGTGCCTGCCTGAATGCCTGTCTGGCATCTAGAGGCCAGAACCAGAGAGAAAACAACCAGAGTTTTAAAAGCCTGCTTCTCTGGGACCTTTGAGGTCCCTAGGAGGGAGGAAGTGAAGGCATTTATGAGATGGGTTAGTCACAGGGTCACAGGGCAAGTCAGGCGTTGCTATGAAGCCAGGAAGCACAAGTAAAGGATCTCTGGGTCCCCTGAGGGCAGTGCGGTTCCGTCTCTGGTTTTTCACCAGAGTTCGCAGCTACTACCTCCTTGGCCACCCGTGCAGTGTTCTGTGTGGTGTGTGATGTGTGTACAGACCCTTGCTATTCTGTGACATCAAGGAATAAAGCGCTCTGTCATAGGCTGTGTCGGCGCCCCTCTCCCCATATCATTATAGCCCCACATAGTGGAATAATTTCTGTCCCATTAAGAAAAGAGCAAGCATGGGCCAGAAGGCCCTCCATAGGGATCCAGAGCAGCCCAGGTCTTCCTGAGCTGACCCGGTGTGCGGTTCAATTCTCTATCTTCCTAGAAATTCGGAAAGACAGACTTGGAACCATATAGCCACTTGCTTTGGAGGAAATAGGACCCAGCTACTTTTCTGCTTCTTCCCTTTTACCTTCCCTGATCTATCTGGCTCCACCTCTAGGAAACTGGTTGGGTCATTGGGGAGCAGAAGGCCCCTTTTGAGCAGGCACCATTATCTGATTGTACCATAGCAGGCCACCAAAAAGGTCTTTCTTATAAACACATATATATTCTTCTGCCCCTGAATTTTACATGTGCCCTGGGTTGGAAATGCTTGCCCCTGGCCTGCAAATCTCAGGTCAAGCTGGTCTCTGAACTGAAGCTGTATGGTTGTGTTTTAGGAGGAAGAGGAGGAGGCCCGGCTGGCCAGCCTGCCTGCCTGGAGGCGTGACATCCTCCGGAAGAAGCTGGAAGAGGAGCGGTGAGTGTCTGGAGGAGGCTGCTGGGCACTGTTCTTGATCACCTCTGGGGTTGGGATGCCATCTAATCCTGTCTCTTTCTCATTCCAGGGAGCAGAAGCGGTAAGTTCGGTCCTGGCCCAAACCTGCCACTTCTCTCTACAACCACTCACTGAGGCTTGTCCCTCACGCTCCTTCATCCAGCCCATTACTTCAGTCCTTGTAGCGTAACCTTTCTGCGCCCACTAAAGACAGAAGACCCTTAATTATTTAGCACCTGTCCCTCAAAGTCTAGCTCTCGTGCTCAGATCACATTACCTCGACCCCCCCCCCATCTCCTATCGCTAACCTGGCTTTTCACCAACGGTGTTAGCACTGTGTGTGTTAGCACATACCTAGAATCCCACTTTTGGTAGGTACAGGCAGGATTACGAGTTCAAGGTTATCCTTGGCTTCACAGCCAGTTCAAGGCCAAATTGACCTACAAGGTGACCTTGTCTCAAAACGAGGCAAACAAAAGCTGGGCTTTCTATCCTACAGCGCTGGCTTTTCTGCTTTAATTATGTGTATGTCTGTGTGTCTCTGTGTGGGTAGGCACACATGAATGCAGGTGTCTGTGGAGGCCAGGTGTCAGATCCCTTGGAGTTCCAGTTACAAGTGGTTGTGAGCCACCTAGTATGGGTGCTGGGAATCCAATTTGGGTCCTCTGCAAGAGTAGTCCATGATCTTAATTGATAAGCCTTCTCTCCAGCCCCAAAGACAGTTATTTTAACCCCAGGATCAATAAACTTGATCATTCACATTCCCCTCAACTTAATTTCTGTACCCAGGAATCTATCCTGGTACTGCCAGCTAGAAGTATAATGTGTACCGCAAATGTAATTTTAAATTTTGTGGTAGCCACATTGAGAAAAATTTTTTTAAAGATATAGGTAAACTTAATCTGAATGCTTTAATTTAATGTATGAAGTCTTATTTCAGCAGCCTGTGTGAGTGTGATGGAGGAGTCCTAGGCTCACGGCTCAGGTAGCAGAGTGCTTGACCAGAGCACAGAAAGCCCCGGGCTCAGTCTGCAGCATTGCATAAATCTGGGGCCTGGGACTGGAGAGATGGCTCAGTAGTTAAAACACTTGCTGCTCTTCCAGAGGACCCAGGTTCAACTCCCAGCACCCACAAGGCAGCTCAAAACCATCTGTAACTCCAGTTCTAGAGGATCCAATGGCCTCTTTTAGCCTCCCTGGGCACTAGGCACACATGTGGTGCACAGACTTAAATGCTGGCAAAATACTCATTCACACTCAATTAAATAAAATTGAAAACAAAATAACACACACACACACACAAACACAAAACCAATCCTGGAGTGATAGTACAGGCCTGTAATTCCAGCATGCAGGAGAATCAGAAGTTCAGAGTAACTGTGTCAACATAGCAAGTTTGGGGTCCCCCCAAATATATCACAATACAACTCTTAAGAAGTTTTTCTAAAAAAAAAAAAAAAAAAGCTTAGTTTTGAAAATACCATGTGTATGCTAATTTGAATATTTCAATTGCTCCATAACTAAATAGGATTAGCGGTGACCCTGTCAAAAAAGCAAATCTATCCTTCTGCTTCTTTAGAGTTAGGGCTCAAAGCTGAGTGTTCTAGGCAAGGTCTAACCTGGGGAGCTATACCCCAGTCCGTAGTCCTGTGTTCTGAGAACCTGTCCCTAGCTGGCTGTCCTATTCCCCTGTAATGAGATCCCCAGCATCTCAACCCTATTCCCTGGTAATTTAGATTGACAGTTCCCTAACAACTCAACTCCTGTCTCCAATGACAGGCCTCTTGTCATTGATCCCCTGAACTCTGAAACATTCAATCCTCACACAGGGCCACCTGTGTGAGCCCTGTGTGACCCAGCACCCCCTCCCGGTAACACTCCTCCACAAAATAACCCAACCTTAGCCTCCACCTGCCCATCTCTTCATGACCACTATGACCCATAAAAACCCCAGGGTCGAAAGCGGAGAAGGCCCTGCCCTCATTTGCTCCCTCTCTCCCACCCTGGTTTCTGGCCGGCCCAGTGTCTGGCCCCAGACATCACTGAGTTTTGCCACCCATAAACAGAAAAGAGGAGGAGCGGCAAAAGCAGGAGGAAATGCAGAGGGCGAAAGAACAGTCTGAGAAGCTGCGGACACTGGGCTACGACGAGGCCAAGCTCGCACCCTGGCAGCGACAGGTCATCTTGAAGAAGGGGGAGATCCCTAAGCAATAAGAGTCTCACGTCGTCTTGCGTGTAGCCTCACCAGTTCTGAGAGATGGGGAGCGGCCCCCCCGCCCCCGCCCCATCCTGTCAGGTTGGTGCGAAAGGGCTGGGAGCCTTGCCGCCCTTCCCTTCGGTGCCGGAACCCTCCCTGTTTCCCCTCCCTGGCCCCACATGCCCAGCCCTGCCGCTGGAGTGCTTGCGCACTGCTGCTGTCGCCTGGAAAAAGTGCCCAAGCTGTTGACGCGAAAAGAAAAAAAGAAAGAAAAAAAGATGCTGCTTATTTGCATGCTCACTTACATACATTTGCATGTTCGTCTACCTTGTGCTGAGCTCTCCCCAGTCCCGTGGGTGGTGACTTTTGCTGCAGGGCGCACACCCGGCTGCAGCCCCCTCCCCCACATCCCGGAACCCACACTGCCAGCCCATCCTGGGTGGAGGCAGACCCCGAGCTCGGGGAAGGGGTTTTCCTCCCTCCACGACCCAGATCTGCGCTAGCCAAGGCCAGGCTGCATTTCTCATCCCTGGTGAGGGTTTCCTCTCAGTCATTTGTTTACCAGAACCGACGAAACTTGCCTGACGGGGCGGAGCCACCGCTCCCAAGGGGCCCCATCTTAACCCCCTACCCCAGTTAAGCCCTCCCAGCCCCCAGCCAGGACCTTCGCGCTCCCCTGACCGTTTCACTGCCCCAGTGGTATAAGTGGAGGGTCAGGGACCCTGCACCTGGAGCCGCAACTATTCCTGACCCCATACCCCACCCGCTTCCTTCCCCCATTAAACCTCTATCCGCCAACTGTGGCTCTCATTCACTCTCACTCGCCGGCTTAGTGACTTTCTCCTGGGGCCACTGGGTCGTGGCGGATACAGGAGGAGTTGATATAGGAGCCACCAAGACCACTGGTTTCCATTGTGAGCCCCAGTTCCCGAGGCGTCAGGACCCCTAGCCAACTCAACGCCCAGGGAAACAAAGGGAACTAGAGCGCCACTCAACAGCCCCAGCCCCACTGAAACACCAAGAAGCTATTTAAGATATTTAATACCAACTCCAAACTCAGGTTGATAGACAGTTGTGCAACTGATCATTTGACCCCTCTTGATATTTCTTCCCTTAGCTGGAGCTCCATAGGGCAGGTAAGCAGGGGCGAGGACAGCCGGTGCTGCTACGCAGGACCGTGCTAGGGGGGTAGTAAATGACATAAAATGTCTACACGCATAAGTAACGATACTTAAGGCTCCTGCAAGGGTCACTAGAATAACAACGTGACTGGTGGGTCTCACATCACGGGCCGTGCTGCAGGCGGCTGCGCAGGTCCTCGGCACAGCCTTCCAACCCCATGCGCTCCAGGGCCGCATAGACGGCACCCAGGCCTGCAGGTTGCTGCTGGCGCCAGCGCTTGAGCATCTCATACTGTTGGTCTCGGAAGCGGCAGATCTCCACCTCCACAGCCTCAATTTCTGCCTCCCGCAGCCCTAGTGTGCGCACAAACTCCTTCCACCGTCGTGCTGGGACAGCATCCATCACATCATAGAGCTGCGGGCCAGGCTGGAGCATAGCAGCTGGCGAGCCTGCAGGGGGCGCTGGCGAGAGCGGAGGTGCCAGAGGAAGGCCTGAGGTGGGGTCAGGGAAGTGAGGTTGCTTTCCCACGAGGCCTAATGGACTCTTTGGGCAGGCCAGATATTACTCAGTGAGGACAGGAAGTCCACCTTGGACTTGGGACGACGGAGTCAGGCCTTCCTTAGCCACTTCAATCACTTACCGAGAGTTGCGTTTGGCGACTGATTCCAGGGCTGTGGAACCTGGTTGCAGGCCATCTCCTGAGTCTGGGATAAACCAGGGGTCCAGCTGTTGCCTACCAACTGGACAGTGGTGCATACTTTTCCAGTACTCCCTTGGGGTGCCAGGAGGGTGTGGGCACTGTCTGAGGCTGAGGGATGGGTAGTCTGGAGTGGGGAGAGGCACCAAGTCAGTCATGTGTATCTAAACAGGCCCCTTTGCTAGTTTCTGCCCAGGGGGTGGCCATTCCCTGGCTCAGGAGGCAGAATCGCCTCCCCTAGGCTCTGGGTATAGTGCACGTGCGCGCGCGCACACACACACACACACACACACACACACACACCACACACATACACACACACACACACACACTCCTGTGGCCCAGCAGGGGGCTACTGTGTTTGCCTGAGGTCTGTCCCCGAATCCTTTGGAGTTGTTCATCCTCTCAATGTTAGGCCTGGGGCACTTGTCTGAGAGCAGGTGCTGTAGCTGGTCTTGTCACTGATAACTCATCTCTTTGACAGAAGACAGCACTAGTCTGTTAGGTCTAATCTGTGCTAGCAACCACGCAGAGCACTAAGGACTGTAACTCTCCTAGTTCCAGAAGCTTCCCAGTCCTGAGATAATCACCTGTGGTGAGGTCAGGGTCTCCATCGCAGTTGTGTCTGCTGAGAGAGAGACAGACAGACAGACAACAGACATGCCATGTCAGCAGCAGCCAAGGCCCCTGGACTTAGGTGCCAGTCCAGGCATCTTGAGTCCCCTTTGCACCTCATACTCCTTCCTTCAGTTTCCCCTTCTGCACAGAGTTCCAGGGGCTCTAGACTACCTACCTAACTTTACCCCATGTCTCTGGTAACGCATGTGTGCAGTACATGTATGGACTTACCAGGAACCACAGGCTTGCAAGGCTGGCGTTGGCAATATGAACATATCAGGGTGGCCCCAAGCAGGAATGAGGTCCCTAGAAGCACCTGGACCCAAACTACTGTGAAAACAGTAACTGGTGAGTGCCAGCCAGCAGCCACCCCCTCCATCCCAGCCTGCAACCACCCCCTCCCCACACTGGCCCCTCCCCCCAGCTTGCAGCCATGCCCTCCCCACACTGGCCCCTCCCCCCAGCCTGCAACCACCTCCTCCCCACACTGGCCCCTCCCCCCAGCCTGCAGCCATGCCCTCCCCACACTGGCCCCTCCCCCCAGCCTTCCCACTAGAGTTACCACCTACTCCACTTCCAGGCACAGGCTGTTCTGTAGGCGTCGGGACAGATTCTGCAAAAATCCCTGCAAAGGGAGTGGGGCAGGACTGAAGGTTACCCAGGACTGCCTGGTACCTTTCCCCATCTTTTAGGAGGTGGGGCGTCTATTCCGTGAGCCTCATTCCGTTGTCCATTCTCTGAGCATCACTGAAATGTCACTTGGGTCACTAATATCAACCATCACTCTTGAGCGTCCAGCTAGATCCACAAGAATGGGAGGTATGCATCTTAAGTTCCTGAGTGGTCCTCACACCTAGAATTAGTGTCTGTGAGGTAGGTAGCAGATAAGCTAACGGTTGAGCCAGTAAGGTGCCTTCCCCTTATTACAGCTCTGGGAAGGCGGCACAGCACCCTCATGCTCAGAGGGAAAACTTGGGATTTCAAGCAGCAAATCCAGTCTCAGTGCAAGCCTCGGAGCTTGTAACCAATAGGAGGGAGGAAGGTCTAAGGGACACTGTGACAGAGGTGACAACCTTTTACCAGCCTGTTGTCTGAAATGTCACTTCCATGGCCCAGCCAAGCTGCCCCCACCTACATCTTTAACCATCTCTAAACCAGTAGCTCTGTCCCCAAAGTCCCCACCCTGCTCCCAGCCTCCTACTTGGGGCAGCACATACAGTCACTGCCATATTAATTGAGCCATGCAGATCAAGAGATGGTTTGTTTCAGGGAAGGAGAGGAGGGAGATGAAAGAAAAGGGTTTAGGGGAGCTGGAAGGATGGTTGTGCACACCTTTAATCCCAGCACTCAGGAGGCAGAGGCAGGTGGATCTCTGTGAGTTCAAGGCCAGCCTGGTCTACAAAGTGAATTCCAGGACAGCCAGGGCTACACAGAGAAACCCTGTCTCAAAAGAAAGGAAGGAAGGAAGGAAGGAAGGAAGGAAAGAAGGAAGGAAGGAAGGAAGGAAGGAAGGAAGGAAGGAAGGAAGGAAGGAAAGCCGGTCGGTCTTAAGGGTAGACATCCCAGGATGGGATGGGGTACCTGGGGTACTCACCGAGGGTTGGGGGAGCAGTGCAATCTGAACATGAGAGGCAAGACAAGGGCGAACTTTCCCCGCATGGCTCGGTGGAGCAGACACGCCGGCCTGACTGGCAGCCACAGCGGGTATCCGACACGGCTGAACAGTTCTCCAGGGTCACTTGGAAAGCTGTCAGGGGTGCAGGAATATGGGGACGTGGGTGCGTTCAGGCTACTGACCTCCACAGAGAGAAGGAAGTACTAGCTAGCCCCACAGGTAGAGAAGTAGGCAGCTCATAGCGGACCAGAGGCCATGGCATGTGAAACAGGAAGGCCACAGGGGAAAGGAGAACATTTGGAAGCAGAATACATGGTGGCCACGAAGTGGACTGAACACAGGGACCTCACACCCACAGGCTGGGCCCAAGCCAGCTTTCTGAATGGCCTGTCCGCAAGAGCCCCCTGAGCCCTGGGCAGGCCCCTCACCCCCTTCATCACAGGCTTGGCAGCGGGTACAGTCGGTCTTAAAGTGGTTTCCCCTGGTTAAGAAGGTGCCCTGAGGACAGGGAAGGCAGGTGGAGTTGCCACAGGGCTCTGTGCAGGGGGCCTTCATGTAGTGTCCTGCGGAACCCAGGCAAGTGTCAGAGTCAAACCATCCTACCTGCTTCCCACTGGTCACCATCTCTCTGGCTCTCTACCTGCCTCCCCCCCTGTGGCTGCCACCCCAGCCTCCCTGGACCCCATCCCCAGCCTGTCCCACCCTCCCCTACCTTCCTTTTCCCTGCTTCGCCCTTTTTACCCTTCCAGCCACCTACCTTTTGGGCAGCCCCTGCAACAAAACCGGCCATCCCTCTTCTGTGAGTCATTGGCACAGTCACACGGGCCAGGAGGGCTGCTCTGGCCCTGGCCCGGGGGCAGCAGCAGCAGTAGCACCAAGAGAGCCTGGGGAACATGCGGCTGCTGACCCCAGGGTGGCTCCCAGGTTCCTCCTCTATCCCAGAGCCTTAGCATCAGCTTTCTCAGGCTTCTGGGCATAATGGGACGCCCATGGGAGGGGGAGCGGGGCCAGTTTCCTTCTCGGTCTACAGACCCAGCTTACGCACGCACAACACACGACGGTCCCTTGTCAGCCCTTCACCCACTTCCCCCACAATCATCAAGACGGGGGCCCCCCTGCCCCCATCCGTGCCTTCTGCGATATGGAGGCCCCCAGACCCTTCTTTCCCCCGGAGCGGGAGCGTGTGCTTCCTCTCAGCGGAAGGGCGCGCCCGAACCTAACTAGGTCGGTGGGTGGAGGCAACCCAGCCCTCAGGGAGGTCGGAGTGGAGGGCACCCCACCACCAAGCTTCATAGACACTTAGCTCCTGGGCTGCAGGACAAGGCTGTTTCCAGGCCTCCCTCGATCCCACTCACCTCCTTCATGTATCCCCGTGGCAGTGGCTCCATGGCGGTCTGTACCGCCTAGAACCTTTTAGTGCTACTCTGGTCCCGCAGCCCGGGGCTTCCCCACTAGCCCAGCCCGAGTTCCTAGCCCAGGCCTGCCCGCCCGCGCCATCCAGAAAAGCCCGCCTCAGGGGATGGCCAGGGTGGGGTCTGCGGTTCTTCCGCAGTTAAGGGGGCGTAACTCTACCAGAAAGAGACCTTCCTGGCGCGGCTCGGGGCACTTCAGGTACTGGAAGCTGACACAGGCTTTGACTAAACCTATATAGGACATGGTTGCATCCTAACCCCACCCTCGGGCTAGCTCCAGTCCTGAGAACCGTTTCTTAGAGGTGGGTCCAGGGCAAGTGTCTTTTCTCTGGGCCTGGAGTATTTGGGATGGGGTTGGGAAAAGTTAGGTCTGCGAGAGACCTACATCTCCCAGAACAGCTGGATGTGGAATCTGGGATGGATGGAGCCCTGAGTTAAACAATACCGTCTAGAATCTAGAGTCTAGAAGGGTTCAGCAAGGGCAGGGAGCCTGGGGGCTCCAATTTAATGGTGACCTCCTGGTTGTGGCAGGAAACAAGTTGATCTTGGGGTACTAGCTTACAGTATCTTCCACAGGGGCCCCACTACAGCTGGGACCCACACACCCCAGCCAGCTCAGTGCATGTGAACAGAGAAAGGATCTGGTTCCAGAACCACAGGACTCTCTCCCGGGGAGTATAGACAAGTCTTTATAAAAGAGCCAAACTCAATAAATACGCAGCTTGACAGAGTCCAGCCCCAGCCTCAGAGGCGAGCATGAGTTCAACCAAATGAGGGTGGTGGGGGAGGGCTGCTTGGGAGCCTCGCCCAGAGGGTTAGGGCCAGCCATGTCAAGAGCAGAGGAAAAGAGGCTGCCTGGGCAAGGGGTGGAACTCGGCAGAGTCCTTCTCCATTCCGTCCAGTCCAGCAAAGTGCAAACTGGCCACGGGGTGATGGGCAGCCATCCTGCCCGGCAAACGCGCACACGCGGCAGCGGCGAAGCAGGTGCCATACCCCCAGGTGGCAGTGTTCTCTGCTGTCCCTTAGTCAGTGGCACCCTTGGGGTCTCCTTCCGCTCACACCTCCCTGTAAGGGGCGGGGAGAAAGTCCATCCTTGGTTGATGCCATTCATGAGATGGCTTTAGTTAACTCTGCTCTCCCCCATGGTCCTTTGACCCCTCCCTGCTGCCTGCTACAGATAGTCCACGGGAGCTGGGGCAGGTCTGAAGCTCCTTTTCACACTCCATCCCCACGCTGATGCTCGCAGTCATGGCTACATCACTACCCACCCAAGACTCAGTACTACCCACGCCACACTGAGTCATCTGGTCCTCCCCCAGCCGGGCCACTCACGAGGCTGTGAGCGTGGAGTTAAGCAGCAGGGTGGTCCTGATCCGATAGAGCTGGGCCAGGGTCAGCTTCCTGTGCTGAGCGGAGATTCCTGGGGGAGGCTCAGGCTGCACCCTGGGAGCAACCCCTGAAGGCATGTCTCTCCTGGCACAACCTATAGGTCCCCTGGTCAAGTGGCTGGCTCTGTTCTCAGGTTCTGACAAGTCAGAGCCACGGCTAGGGCCACAAGCCCCTGGGCAATTCCAGCCAGGTCCACCTTCCTGAAGGGAGCTCCGAGTCCTAACCCCAGGGGCCGTGGTGACAAGGCACAGTTCTGACAGGCTGCGGCTGGGGGCTGGGGGCACTCCACGGGTGGCAGTTCCCGAGAGAAGCTGTAAGAGACTAGCCTCAGATTTGGACTTGAGCAGGCAGGGCAGACGAGGGATCAGCTGGACAGGAGTGCGGCGGCGGAGGCAGGGTGAGGGGGTCTGTGGTAACTCTGGGGGCTGGGGCACAGGCACTGGCTCTACCACAGGGGGTGGAGCCACAAAGTCTTGCAGAGAAGTGGGGGACAGAGTGCCATAGGCAGAGTCCATGGAACAAGAGCGGCCGTCCACCGGGCCCAGGGGCAGCAGCTCGCTAGTGGGAGTGACGGATGAAGCCGTGGTGCTAAGTGAAGTCCCGTCCGACTGGGAGCTGAAGGGACCACGGTCAAACTCCGGAGAAGACAGCGTCTCCCCAGGCTCTACCACAACCATGGCCAGGGTCTCCGTGGAGCCATCTGAGGCACTGTAGGGGCAGAAGGAGAGTCAGCCAGCCAGAATATCCCTAAAAAGCCTAAAGCAGCCTAGGGAACCAGGGGCTCTGAGGTCAGGGCTTTCGTCACTGACCGGAGACACCTGTGCGTGGCTGCAGGCAGCGGCACACAATGGGTCCTCCATGCCTGGACTCTGGTAGGAGACAGAGCTGTCCCCTAACAGTCCCACTGGGTTCACAGCATGACGCTATTCAGAGGGCAATTCCTATGTCCTGGGCTGCCTGGGGTCACTTATCCTGATGGGCCCTACTGAATGCTCTTTATTGTGTGTGTGTGACCTGGTCTGGCTGTAGAGCCCCAGAGCTCGCTACAAAAACCAGGTTGGCTTCAAACTTCTGGCAATCCTCCTGCCTCCACCTTTCAAATGCTGGGATTAGAGTCATGTATCATAGCTTGGTGGGTAGATTGTATGTCGACCTGTCTCTTTTCTTCTTCTTTTTCTCTTTTTTCTTTCTTGAGACAAGGTCTCACTTTGTTGCCCAGGCTGCCATACACTTGAGATAATCCTCCTGCCTCAGCTCTCAAATGCCAGGATTATAAGCACGAAGTTCGAGTTTACCGGGTAGTCTTGGATAAACGTACCAGTGCTGAGAGTTGAGGCTGTTGCTGCTCTTTCGCAGGATGGTGGGGGAGCTGGCGGCTGAGGCGCTGCTCTCCCCCTCCTCTTCCTGTTCATCCTCCTCCTCTTCCAGGCTCTGCAGGGGCTGGCTGCCTGGATGCTCCTCCTGGGCACGCAGCTGTGCACGCAGCTGCTGCAGCTGGTTCTGCAGGGTGAGTGGGCAAACAAAGGATGAGCTGTGAGCAGCAGACCCCAGTTCCCTGCACCCATCACTCTGTTCTCACCTGAGCATTGTAAATAGTGTCCACCCAGCTTCGGCATAAGGCCTGGCTGCTGGCCTGGAATGTGTAGGCCCCCACAGCACTGTGGAATTCATTCAGGTAGATGAGGAGGAAGGAGCCTGGTCATGGAAGGGCCAGGTTAGTATCAGAGCCCTTGTCTGTGGCAGCCCCTTGACCAGGAACAGGGGGCCAGAATTCCTCACCAGGGTCCCGAAGCTCCCGGCATACAATCTTGTCCACCAGCAGTGGTGGCCTGATGACCTTGGTTCTCTCTGCTTTCTTCACAGCCTTGGTCACCAAGAGCAGATCAGTGAACAGGAAGCAGTACACATCCATCTGTGGCAGGAAGCAAGAGCTGTCGGGTCACGAACAGGACCCTGAGGTCACTGAAAACCTCTGCTGTTGTTCATTTTCTGTTGTTGATTTTCAAGACAGGGTTTCCGTGTAGTCCTGGCTGTCCTGGGACTCGCTCTGCCTCTGCCTCCCAAGTGCTGGGATTAAAGGCATGTGCCACCACTGCCCAGCTTCATACTTTGTAAATTTTAAGCAGGTAACCAACTCTGCTGTGACATCTGTCACGTGTTCTTAGGTCAACGCACTGGTTAGTTCCTGTGTTGTTCTTGTTTCTAGAGACAGGGTTTCTCTGTGTTGCCCTGGCTGTCCTGGAACTTGCTCTGTAGACTGAGCTGTCCTTGAACCTCTGCCTACCGAGTGCTGGGATTAAAGATGTGCACCACCATGGCCCTGGTTAGTTTCTTTGTCAGTTTGACATGAGCTAGGGTCATCTAGGAAGAAGGACCCTCAACTGAGACAAATACTTCCAGATTAGCCAGTAGACAAATCTGTGGGGCATTTTCTTAATTAATGATTGATGTGGGAAGGCCCAGCCCATCGTAGGCAGTGCCATCTCCGGGCAGGTGGCCCTGGACTGTATAAGAAAGCAGACTGAGCAAGCTAGAAGACATCCTTCCAGCATGACCTCTGCTTCAGCTCCTGCCCTGACTCCCCTCACGGATGGCCTGTGACACGGAAGTCAAAGAAATGTTTTCCTACCCAAACTGCTTCTGACCATGGTGTTGTATCCCATCTATCAGAAGCAGACCAGGACAGTTATCACATAATTAACTAGGCAGCTATGAGCCACCGACTCAGGCCCAAGGGGGAGCCTCAGGAAGGATGGTGCCTACAAAGCAAGAGCAGGCGGGGCGAGGGCTCAGGTGCAGGGTGGTCCTGGGGTCACCTTGCTGTCTCTTCCCTCCTTCATCCTCAAGCTCCCTTCCAGCAGCAGCTGCCGAATCTCTTCAGGGGAGGCGCCAGGCATGGGTGCGGTCAGGTCCAGATGTAAAAATTCCTTCAAGAGCTTTAGGTGGAGGGTGCAGATGTCAGGAAGGTCAGGGTCAAATCTGAGAGGCCCCCAAAGGAGATCTGCAGAGCAACCACCCCCTCTACTAGCTACAGGCTCGGTGCTCACCTTATCCACCTCCTCATTGCTACCCTCCACAACCTCGTAAGCATCGATCCGGCTCACCACCCCGGCCAGCCGCTGGCGCTCCTGTCGCTGCCGCATGCATGCGTTCACGTGGTGGATGAAGCATTCCACAGAGCTGATCTGAAGACAGACGATAGGGTTTAGGGCCAGGATCTGGGAGAGACACACACTGAGGGCGGTATGTTCACAATTCGAGTTACCATGGTGACCACTGCTTCCTTGGCACGCGGCTCATCCGTCTTCCTCAGCACTGACTTGAGCAGCAGTGGGTATTTCGTGAGTCGCTGGTGGGGCTTGGCCAGCATGTCACTCAGCTTCAGGCGCTGACACTGCTGGTGCTTCTCAGCCCACTGTAGAGCGGGGGCGGAGCTCAGGCTTAACCTCGCCCCCTCAGGCCCCGCCTACCCAGCTGCGCCCAAGGTCCTGCACCCAGAGCTCCAGACCCTCACCGTGACATAGGCGCGGAACAGGTCGTTGTCGCGCAGCAGGCCACGCATGTATTCCATACAGCCCTCCTCCTCCATACAGTATCGGATGTATGGCTTGAAGAGCGAGCCGAACTGGTCCGGGGCAGAACCACAGCACCTGTTACTTCAGGATTTCAGGGGCCCCAGGGGCTTCCCATACCACCCCGGAGGGGTTTCCAGGACAGGATACTAAGTCTCAAAGATACCACCCATAATCGGGTGGCAAGGACTCTAACCCAGGTCACCAACAGGTACTACTTCCTCTCTTGGCCACAGAGTTAGTGGGAACTAGAGGGAATGGACAGGCAGACAGGATCTAGCCCTGGGGGATTTTCAGTGTCCCTGCCCATACCATTTTGAAGCCTTTGAGAAAGTCCCCAGGCTGCAACAGCGCCCGCGTGCGCCGCGCCTTCTCCAGCACCGGCACCATCACGCTGCCCCACAGCCTGCGGTGCAGCCGCACAATCTCAGGGATGTTGCTGAACAAGCGTTCAACCTCCACCTAGGCGATCACAGGCGCGGGTCGGCTCCGCCCCGTCCCACCCACTCCTCCCTGCTAACCCCGCCCCTGACCCGTACCTCCCCCGACGCCGCCC